TAATGAATACCCATGCCAATAACGTTCAGAATATTCAGACATTAACTCATTCTACTCATGACTCGTAACGACATTCACAAGGAGCTACTTGGACCAATGACATCAACTTCGGCTGTTTTTGTACATTGTATTCGTCGTCGTGTGAAATGTCTATGCAAACTACTACATCAATGCATTAAAACTGATGCATGTATGTCAGTTAAGGAGCATGTCCACAATCGATATCATGTCAGCTGCGTGTTACTGAATACCCATGAGCAATCAAGTGTTTCTTTACGATGCAGATACTTCTTTCCAATACCCGAGGTTTGTATTGAATTTTCAACCTGTGTTGTGCCATGGCAATTTCATTCAACCTACTATCTCTGCCTTTCAAATTGTTAATTACAATCGTCAGTATCTTTAGAAACGTTCACTAACATGCATACATCATACATTAAAGGTTTTGGGCATTGAAAGACCTGATATCATGCTTTCTCTGAGGTAATAATCTCTGCACAAGCACGTATTTATTATTGCCAAGTACAGTCTTCCTCAAGAATCTAACCAAAACTTTAAGATTTCTATCTTTGAAATAATGTGCCACAAATGCACGACTCAATACACGTGTAGGGCCACGGATTACCGAAAGGTACTACATCAATGCACTAAAATTCGAGCATTTGCTATCTAGAATGGTAATGTAATGTTCACAGTGTCTTTGTTCACAATTTTTGCGGGTACAGTAAATCAAAGAATGTCAGATAATGTAATCGTAAACAATTTGTGTATGTTCCAACGTTTCGGATATGAGAAGTTGTGAGTGAATGAGTGAGTGAGTTGTGTTTAACGCCGCTTTTAACAGTATTCCAGTTATATCATGGCCTGTCAACTTAATGTGGGGGGAAAGCCCGAAGTGATGCAGGTCTCAGACGTTTCCCGCTTCGATGAAACCTATGAGCACGGGTATGGTGCTGACAAACCTTGAAACATAATCGGGGCGAACCGGGATTCGAACCCACAATCATAGGTTTCTGGCGTGCCCAAGGGACGCAACTTTACACAGCGAATCGCGGCGCCTTAGACGACTGGGCAACCCGTGCCCACATGAGAAGCTGTGTTTGAACGTTTAAGGAAAGAAGGTTTCTCAACATTATGGTAGCCGTTGAAGTTGAAGTGAAATTAATATATAGGTTCGGACACATATGTGATCTGACATTCACTTTAAAGAATTATAGAGACCTTGACAATTAAGTTTTAATCAAACGTCAATACGCCACAGGTTTATTTTCAACCATCACCCGCGTATCAAGTCACGACCTGTTGACAGCGAGTGGTAAACCAGCGTGGGCCTCGACCAATTTCATCGGCAGTATGCCTCGGGCAACGTTTGCCATAGCCTTGCGGCAGTCTCTTTCATTGACAAACAACTTAAATAACGGACAACGATAGTGTTCTCACAAAGTTAAATTATACATGGCTTTATTTCATAATCTCACTGACAACACACACGCCTCACTGCTACATCCCAAAGCTGACCTATGGATTCAAGGAGCAACGTTGTCATGAATCATTGGCGATGCAATATCTCCAGATTAAAATAAATGCTTTTAATTCTATTTGTTCTGCTTACGAGGAAGCTTATTCGTACCTTGGGAACACTTCCTGTACTGATGTAGTAGCTTCTACTGAGGGTAGAGAATAATCAGTCTTGAATGTCTGGCGTAACAGTATTCATAGTGCTTACAATACAGCATGTATCATGAACATTTTGTGAGTTTTCATGTGAAGAGCAAGTGCCGGTGAGTAAGATGTGAACCTTTCGTGTGAAGGTCATAGCATAGGATAGCATCGCGCTTACCAGCGACGTGTCTATTAACTTTAGCAAATGTCTCTGAATGTCTACCTCTACTATAAATGTTTCGGAGTCACATACACATGCCTTTGATGATGAAGCCTTGAGGGGAAAGTTGAATGGTAAGCAAAATGTATCTTTCCGTCCAATGTGAATTATTGCGAAAACAAAATGTCCTATTCCCTTCAACTCCACGAGCAGAAGAAGTAACTACAGTCTATACCCTACACTACTTGAAGGACCGGCCTCTAGCCAATTGTTCTCTGCCTACTCCACATTTGAATCCTCAATTCATATAATTTTCACCACAACAATTATACACCCCAGATTTATCCGTAGAACAAGGAAGGGAGAGCAACAAGGAAATCATTTCTCTTATGGGGTTGATAACATTATCCTCAAAACCTTTCCCGACGGCCGCGGATTCATAACACTACATGATCCGAATAGCTGAACCACTCCCAAATTAGTCAGGATACCGTGAAGGAGTAATAAAGCCTGGCAGATGGATGGCAATAGAATGAAGTTTGACGAGATGAAGTGCAAATGTTAGTTGAGAAAAAGAGTTATAGCCAGAATGTGTGCTAATAACCCCGATTATTGTCTCTTGATATCCCTTGTCAATTTTAACTAAACCTTTATGTACATAATGGTCATCTTGTGGATCCGCGATAATCAGTGAGATATGTTTTAGTACTCTAACAAAGAAGTCACAGCTCCAATGATATCTCTAACGACCACTTTACATAAAAGTGCCTCAAGTCAAAACAATCACAAGGATGAAGACAATCTCATATTGTTTATAATCATTGTAAAAGATGTTATTATTATTTCATACCTCAGTGTATATTAAGATGGTGTCGCACTTGTTTACATGTATATGAGTTTACTAAGAGTGCTATTTTTTCCATCAATATTATAAAAATATATAATTAAATGGTGCTAAATCGACGTTAGACCAAACTCACTCACTCACTTCAATGTCGACAATTAATGCTATAGAGTGTTGTTTTGAATAGTGTAATTACTGAAATGATTGGACGATTCACAAAATATGATTGTTTGATGATGGATGTGAATGACAAAACTTGGCATACTGAAGCACTGAACCTGGTCCAGCTGAATGTGTTTCCGAGTGGATCCTATTCGTAACACAATGTGTACATTCGATTCACAAACTCTGTCAAAAGTGCTCTTTGTACCAACAAACACTGTTGAGTTCTTTAAACGTGCTGAACTGCATGCGGTATTTGTCATTGTTCCAACTGACAAAGCGTCAAACAACAACACGTTCATTTAATAAAACATTATACGAACTCTCTATACAAGAATCCTTGCTTTGATGTCTCGTATTAATCCAACATACAAAATGAGTGCTTGGTCTGAAATAGAAGCAATGAATTATTCTGCATACTCGTGGACTTTCTAATTTTAAAACATCTAAGAATAAATCAATTCCATCATGATGCTGGATTCTTAAGCTTAATAAAATTCATAAAAGACATAAATAAATAACAGGGCCCAGCAAATGGACCATCAAGTCCTTGTTAAAACTGTTTGGAATAATGGAATATTGCTGGAAACAATCAAACAACGCATAATTAAAAATTGTCCGAGACTCAATGTCTGTTTGTTTGTTTGTTGTTTAACGCCGCACACAGCAATATTCCAGTTATATGACGGCGGTCTGTAAATGATCGACTCTGGACCAGACAATCCAGTGATTGATATCATGAGCATCGATCTACGCAATTGGGATACGATGACATGCATCAACCAAGTCAGCGAGCCTGACCACCCGATCCCGTTAGTCGCCTCTTAAAACAAGCACAGTCGCCTTTTACGGCAAGCATGGGTTGCCGAAGTCCTATTCGAACCCGGATCAATTGGACAAGTTGGGTCAATAATATGTTGATCTTTATAAATAGAAAGATTAACTTGAAATTGTATAGTCTCAGACCTGGAAATCAATTTCAAGTTTCAAAACTTTGATATGTCCACGCTTCACACAATTATCCGTCATAATATTATATTGACATAACGTCATAAACATAATTACATTTTCTTATCAATAGATGTTTTGTTACCAATAAATTCTTCAGAAATATTCAGACACCTAAATATGGTAGTTGCTGGATTTCCTGATTGACAATAACTTTGTCAAATATGGGGATAGAACATTTCGACGATAAATTGGTGCCCCTCTCCCAGCTGATGTTTCTGGTTGCATACGGATTGGACTATCCACCTGAACTTGAAATAGAGACCAGTGAAACTGCCTCATCTGTTTCATCATGTATACATATTACTTACATTTCGTGTAAGACATATTGTGCTTTCAACTCGGACCTGGTTAAGTTATGCCAGAAATGTCATGGTAGACATTCAGAGGCATTTACCAAATATGCCAAAATTATATGCACTTGGCTGTGCCTTTCTATGACATTTATATGGAGGTTTCACACTTCCTTACTCAATGGCACTTACTGTTTTAATAAAACGTGCGTGTGTGGCGGCTGCTACTGGTATAGCAGGACACGCTTAACCTTTTCTCGAACACCTGGTGCCATCATTGATTTTCAATGATCCATTCATATAATGTTCATCACAATGTTGTTTATACGTCCTAAGGAATCTGTTTCGGCAGGCATTCAAGACTGATTATTCTCTGGCGTTGACGTTTTGAAAAAGAAATTTATATAATATCCTACCCTGAATACCCTACGAAAGTTGTGTTGTTCAGTGAAACTCCATGAAGTATAATATAATTGATAATACCTAGAAATCATCGAGTGATTATGCAACTCAGGTAATGCACTGCGAGCCGTTTATTGCTTGAATGACTTTTAGATTTGAGATCAAAGTTGAGATCTGTATTTATAGAACTACCTTCTTTCCGCACCTCCATAGAGCAATCCAAATGTATGTTTATTTCGAAATGGAACGAAAAGTTTATATTTACTCAATATCTACAAAGTCGTGAAGTCGCACAAGGAATTTGGACCCGCGTTAAGTCGATGTGAACTTAACTGAGGTTCATCCCGATTATGATACGTGGCCTGTCAGCACTACAGCACTCGTGGTTCCCCCTCCCCCATTAGACGTTATATAGCAGGAATACTGTTCAACCAAATCACTCACTCACAAAGAATAACAGACGCAGTGAAACACACAACATTTTATTTTCAAATAAAACGAACAAAATAGATGTATCACAGACTCTGGTGACTACACGGACACATGTTTAAACGTAACAACAATACTTTGGTTGAAACTTTGATTAACAGATCAACATTACCAAAGAGAGAAGACAAAAATAAATCATTTTACTCTTTTGTCTCGTGCCATTCTTATGACGCCTTAAAGCTAATCAAAAGAAGTAGAAAAAGCCTTGACAGCAAAAGGAAGTAACTCTTCCTGCTTCTTTATGTGAGCGCTTTGTTTCCAGATGCATTATAGATTAACTTTATTCATGGTCATTATTTCAACATGTCAACTTGCAATTTTAACAATTGGACATCAATCTCAACAACTATTTATTTGCGGCCTTAGTTGATATGTACAATATTACTTTATCTTTGAATGATATAATTCTTTTTGCACTTAAAAAAATGAACAAGTCTTGATATATTTCAAATACAACATATTGTAAAGAAAGTATGAAAGTTTTGTCGAGGTCATTATTCTGGTACATATTTGTACGGACACACCTATTTCTGATATGTATTATCCTGCTTTCGAAAGAACCACTCTTCCTCATGTATTTAAAGTTAAGTATTCATATATGTTAAATAACCCCAAATACCGTTAGATATGCGGACATTATGTGGCTAATGTGTGTAATAAAACATGTGATTACTACTATTAGGTGTCTACGAATTATGGACATCCTTGGCCTCTGATTGAACTCAGTATGGGGTATAGTTTAAATCTTCATTTATATCGACATGTAAGGAAATTTTTTACGGGTTGTACGCCGCTTATTCCAACAATATCGCGGGGACAGCAGAAATGGGCCTCTGTACAAACGCGGGGAATCGAACCAGGGCTTTCGAACGTTTTGACCACAAGAACGTTCGAATCGAAAATGCATCGAGGTATGTGTAGTCATGGACGAGCGCCATCTAATTCTGTCAGAGCCTCAAAATTACATCGGCATAAACAACGTAGAAAGTTAACGAGTTTTCACTGTATATTTTACAGTTCGAACACCAGGAGGATGGATGAGGAGGATGGGTGAGGGCCCTTGTTGGACCACTGAAAATGTAATATAGTCCAACTGCGGAAAACTTTCAAATAATGGAACGAAAGATATGTTCAAATTGCCGACAACTAGCTTTTTTGTACAGTTTTTGAATTTTTGTATGGTCATATATACATCTATGGAGAAAATGCGTGAATAAAGCAGATTTCAAGAACTTCAAAAAATAATGTAAGTATGAACAAGTCTGTAACCCAAGATATATAATACAAAAATATTTGAAATTCGTCTCATGAAAACCTAAAAAATTAACAGCACATTTTTTTATCATCTATGCATCTAACGTGCAATTGTTGAATGTTTAGTTCTCGACATTCAAATGAACATATCTGATAACTGTCGTAACATGTTTAAAAGGTTTCGCTCTTGTGGGCCAAAAACAGGACCACGTCCTATCTTGTCCTTTCTTATGATCTTTTCAGCAGCTCCACATTAAATTACAAATGGTGTGTGTGTGGTCACTGAATCAACCTCGTGCCCCTTCCTCTTTTGAGCGAGTCCTATTTATACACTCACGCGCACATATACATGAACATGCACCTCACGCGCGCACATATGCACCTTTGTATATATACATACAGATACTGACAAAACCTAAGCATAATCTTAAAGTTACCAATTTGATCAATTAATCTAATCGAAGTTGTGATCTTAACACATCTATACATATTAAGACAAAATGGAAGTGTTTAATTAATAACAAATATACTATAACGCAGTTTTATACGCAGACTTAAATCAACGACAACAAGTATTTCTATATTCACTGGTATGATTGCAGTGATTTACTGCAAAGAATGTAAGTGTTTCATGATTACAACATTACAAATTCATACAATCTTATAAACATTATAATTTTATGAAGTTATATGAATCTTATGTACAGTTTTGACATTTCTACACGGGAACATACTCGACCTGATAAATTGAAAATGTTTACAGCATTGACACTTACCCACCCACATTCCTATTTAAAACAACATTTAACACCTGCGGCATTATATATACTTATTATGAATGCAGAAAGTGAACACCATCACGAGAAGGTTATTAGTAAGGACTGGAAAAAGCCTGTAGATAAGGTTGCCCTCTGATAAAATACGTCATGTTGGGTCACAAGCAAACTCGATGTACATTTGACATCAGTGCTCCCCCCACCAGAGTCGGGAAGACTTTCTTTAGACATCTATCAACATTCCAAACTATTCTGACTTTTGCGTTTGCTGAGCCTGCATTTCATATACAAGAATACTACTGCAAATCACCCACATAATGTTCATGTACTTTCAATTTACACAACTTAAAAAAAGTAAGGATAAGATTTATAGGTGAACTACTTCTTTATTACAATTGAGAGCGACGTTTCGGTGTAGGTTCTAACACCGAAACGTCGCTCCTAATTGTAATAAGGAATTTGTTCGTCCATTAATCTTATCCTTACTTAGTACTCCAACTTCTAAATGCCTCTCAAAGAAACTTTAAAATACATGAAATATTCGTTCATATTATTGGCTTGTGTCATTATTGAATGATTGTTGTACTGATTAAGCACCATTCGTTAGGAGATTGATCGTTATTGTATTCTAATAATACTGAACCCGTATTAAGAGAAAAAAAACTATGTATGACATACATCTACACACACCTGATTATATGTATTTCAGGCACCAACCATATTACAAAAGAAACATTGCAGCTAAATGCATAGTGAGAAGGCCATGTTAACATTGCAGTTAAGTACTATGCAACACGTCAGCAATTAAACTACATGTACTTAGTGAATTAAAAATATTAATATATTCCGTTCTTAATATAGTCATAGAAAATACTCGTGGAACACTAAAATAAGATCAAATATCGATAAGTTTTGAGCATATGCATATTCATATTTTTTTTCAAGGCCAGTGTGTTATTTACATGGTACATTTAAATTGACTATTGTGATAAGGTCTCAATAACAGTTACAATCGACCTACAAACATCAATGTATCATGTACATGAAATACGCTATTTTGAAACCATGTTGTCACCTTTTTTCTCAAACTGTAAAAGTTTACAATGGATATTACCTCACACACATTATCAAAACGTGCCTGAGTGTACTTGCCAAGCTCATTTCACAAAAAAGAACCTAAGCTTCATATGTCTGACTAAATGGATTAATACACACATGTACAGTCAAACGGTTGTGAAGAATATGTTCAAAACGTTTTTTCTGTGAAATGAAGACACCAATTTATTCCTAATTAATCACACATTACGGTATACAGTATTCGGTAACTTTAATGGACATGTTCAAAAGTATGATTATATGTACAGACATGAAATTCGTTTCAGAGATAGCATTGTGATGGCACAGCCAACGTCTACAGAAATCGTGTTTTTGTGAGATGACTATCAACCCCATGTCATTTAGAAAGTGGTCAAATGTAAAAAATGTTATATTTGGAATAACACCTTTTTTGTAAAGTACAGATTCTCGTACCTCTTTTGGATTGAGTCCCATCCGGGATTCGAACCCACACCAGAGATGACTATCGTCCACTCAGACTAGTGTGATGAAGAGGTAGAACCACACATTAGCAGAACTAGATGTATGTCTTCCCAAAGCATCTCTGCAATCTCTGGTAACCGAAACCAAATATCCTCTACATCTAGCTGTGAAACTGTGCTATCGAAACAATAATCATGGACAACATGTTGCCGTCTCTCAGTGTGGAAAAATGTACAAGCTTCTTGGGCAATGATGTCCACATCCTACACTTAATCAATCTTGACGTCAACCAATAGTGCAGTTCATTATCTTTAACATCAAGATGCATTGTTCGTCACAGTGAATGTCTTTCTCTCCCCAAAAATGGTTTCGGAATACCTCGCCTGTGCATATATCAAGAATTAAATATCCTTCCTCGGATAGAAAGCTGGTCTTGTGTATGCTCTGACATGGTATGCCGTGAACAACCTCTCTTCCAGGGATCATTCTGTGATTCGACACAGCGTTCAACCACGACCGCAATCATCCAATGATCATTCCCGTCCGATGATAATTTTGCACGAATAGACCCTGCGATCAACCACGACCAACCGCAATTCATCCCTCCATACCTGCAAGATCATCCGGATTGCAGGATTCAGAAACATGTTATATACATTATCATAGAAATTTTTCCACAATATCAACTGATCTTACGCTTATCCCAGGGTTCATCCGTATCCGCTCCTAAGCCGAAGACTGTACCTCAAGCTAATGTGTCAACACGCTCTGCGTCGTCGTCATCACTTAGACAGCATTTACGGTACATCACCCTGGAACAGCCGGCGAGTTGTCAATCATCAGAGGAACTACTCTTTGTCCTCAGGGAAATTTTAGTGTGTATTGTACCGTTCGAGCACGTTGCTCTTGATTCCAACTCATAGTCGGACCCCAACAACTTCCTGCCAAGACATGAATGTGTATACGACTCCTTACACACATATGTCCGACATGCTGTCTGCATGCTCTTCCTAAAGTTTCTGGACATGAAGCCATATATAATGGGATTCAAACACGATTGTATGTACGGAAGGCAGTCCAACACAATCTGTAAAAGAGAAGTTTGAAATCATTAGAGACATTTACAACCTATTCAAAATCATATTTTTTATTATTGGTTATACAACATTATTAAAAGTTGACCCTAATAATAGTGAGTGGTGAGTTTGGTTTAACGCCGCTTTGAACAGTATTCCAGTATCACGACGTGTCAACTTAATGTGGAGACCGAGTTGATGCAAGTCTCAGACGTTTACCACTTTGTTGAAACCCATCAACAGAGGTATGGTGCTGACAAACCGAGAAACATACTCAGGGTGAACCTGGATACGAACCCACAATCACAGGTTTCTGGCGTGCCCAAGGGACGCAACTCTGCACAGCGAATTGCGGCGCCTTAAACGACTCGGCCATCCGTGCCCAGTTATGGTAAAGTAACTACGAAGTCCTGGATCACGAGATGAGGGATGATGATATCAGCAGCATATCTGACTGTTGAGTAACATCATGTAATTAATAACGTATTTACGTCCTTGTCAATTTCAATTTACACATATGGATATTTATAACGAGCATATAAGAAACACATGAACGCAGCATCAATTTATCTGCAGAATGTCATTGCTCGATTTAAACAGAAACGGTTCGACCTAGACTGACGTGGCATCAATTTATCTGCAGAGTGTCGTTGCCTGCTTTGGCTCGGTGACTTGGTTGATTGCTTGTCATTGGGCGATTATTTACAACATATCGTAATATGGCTGGAATAATGCCGTTCGTGGCGTTACATATACAAACATGAGTGAGTGAGTATGGTTTTACGCCGCTTTTAGCAATATTTGAATATTTCAGTTATACATGTAGCATGATGTGTCGGGTTAATGTGACAGGAAATGCCGATGATCCAAGACTTTGTCAAATGACATTGAACAGAATATTAATTATGTATTATTTTTTGTACGGTACATTTTTCAAATTCCAGATAAAGTATTCATCTTTGGTGACTTGACTGCAGATATGTTCAAGCTGATATATTCATCGATCTAATCAATTTGCAGGAATGTTTTATTGCTTTTTCATTTTCAATAGGGTGATCTGGTAGCCAGGTAGAGAGTGGTTTGCATGTGAAGCCGATTTATTGTGCCTACCACATCGTTCCCCGCAGTGAAATGCTGTAATATTGATTATATATTCATGTTAAACTGCGGCATGGTATCTCAGTGGACTAGCACTATAAATCGGCATCAGTCCGAACTAGTATAAGTAGACACACACACACGCACACGCACACGCACACGCACACGCACACACACACGCACACACACACACGCACACACACGCAAACACAAAGAAACACACACACACACAAACAAACACTCATACACACACATACATGCATGTGGCTATGTAAGTGCACTAACTTTGGACGCGACCTATTTCACCTCACACATTTTAAGTTGAAATACTTCATTTTATGGGACGTCAATAACACCTTTTGTGTATATCTCTATAGTATGTGTAACAACACACATTCACACACACACACACGTGTTAGACAACCAGCTACACTGTAGACAAACGGCGAGGGCGGAATTACAATCTTGATCTTATGTGAATGCCACAGTGTGCCGGGGGATAAACAAATATTTGGCGATGCTACGCATGCATTTGTAACTTGTACAGCATATCAGGTAGACTAGTGAGTGAGTGGGAGGGGGTTTACGCCGTTGTTAGTAATATTTTATCACAGCGGACACCGGAAATTATATCAATGTGGGGAATTGAACCAGGGTTTTCGATGTGACGAGACTGTAAACACTTAGCTCCCACATCGCCCCTTCATAAAAAATAGAATTGTATTTTAACTTGACGTACCGGAATGGAAAGGAGCAGAATGGAACATAATGAAAGGAAACGAATAGTATTACAAAAAACGTCTGTGCACGAATAGTCCATTACTTGAATTTAACAAGGACTTTGAAAATATAGGCTTATGGTATTTTAATTTGAAGATGCGAAATATGACTTTCGCTGTATCCAGGTTAGTTTGTTTTGTTTTTTAAATTAGTATTATATGTTTATGTTTCAGCAGATAATCTGGTATCGAGGTTCAATATTCCACTGTTCTCGGGAGACATGTGCCTCATAGAGTTCTCAAACAAACACAGGCCTCCCTTGGGTTTCCAAACTCGACACTCTTTAGAGAAATAGTTACTGTTGGTTTGGTAGTATTGGTGGCTTTAAAAATCTTAAGATCCTTAAATTTTCTCGACAGGTATAACAAAAATGCATGAATGTTCACGTATTACAATGTAAATGTGACAGTTATTATGTATCAGATGATGTTACATATTTCGAAGTTTAAATAAATCCTTATAAATCCTAAACGTTTAGACCTGTATGAATGTTGTCAGTCACCAGAGCATAGACTTAACCTCCGCGTGATCAAGGTTATCCAGGCACAGTCATCTGAACACAAGATTACGTCCACATTCTACATAGCAAAGAAAGGTCAGCATTTATATCTCTGGCAGACAACCCATTTGGTTTAATATGGACATTCGTGTTGTTCACGTGGGTATACTTGCTCCCTATTCTCAGCTGGTGCGCATGTCTTAATGACGTCATGACAGAGATAACAAACAGCGCCACCTGGTGTTCATTAATCGAGTTAGGATCAAAGTGAGTAGCCTTATTTCGCACATATTAGCTGTATTCTAGGTTTCTAGGTGGGCCTAGACTCGACCGGTCTGGGCCTCAGCTGTGACCCGAGTGTTGTATGAACAGGGTGTATAAAGGTGCCGACTGAAGACATTAAATTACATTCAAATCATTTCTAGCAGTCTTCACTTGTGCGGGGAGGCCGTTACTGATTGATCTGTGGAACAATACGAGTCCCCCCCCCCCCCCCCCCCCCCCCTAATTCCGGACAACACTGTACTCAGTGAGTTACGAGGAATTCACGCATAGACACTTGCTTGGAGTAGTTCTAAAATTACCAGAAATTGTTCATAAGTAACTATAACAATTATGCTGTTCATACACTGCATATACATGTAACAAAACATCACATCTTTATGATATAATGCTTGAGAAATACGTATACTTGTTCACGTACATAAAAAAGACCGCCAAGGCTAGAGAATAAGTCTCAGCTATCTGTAGAAAAAGATTTCGTTGAGCGTAAAAGGCAAAATTGCGGTGAAAATTATATGAATGGATCATTTTATACCTGACACACGAGCCGACTGAAATGGGGATCCGGTGGCCACAATGATGGATGATAAACTGGTCGGAGACTTTTAGATAAGTAATATAACAATATTATTGCTACGGTGTCAGTGTATTCTCTCACGAACGAAACGACGCTTTCGTGAGTGAGGGGGTTTGAGTGATTGAATGGGTGTTTGAGTGAGTGAGTGAGCGAGGGGGTGAGGGAAGGGAGTGGGGGTGCTCCTCGTTTTAAGTTACTTAATATTTGTTGATCATGGTAACAAGAATGCGAAAGAACATGTGCTTATAAATACTAACATAAATAACTACATAACTAAAGAACATATAACGTATTGAGGGTTTTCAACTAAAACTTCAATCCGTCATAGCCATTTACTACCCAATATGACTCGCAATTGGTCATGTCTGACAGTACGTGTACATGAAACTATACAGTCATGTTTAAACTAGTTGATTATTATGTACCCTATATCAAACATAACAATCAAATTTATCATTTTTCTGGACAATAACCAAATAGTGTTGCACCCTTTGAACGCCCATTTACGCACTGATTGTGGAATATTAATATTACCTTGGGGTGTCTAACAGTATAATTCGCTAACAACATACATTGGAGAATGTATGTAGTCTATGGAGACAGTGCAATAAGGAAACGAAGTGCGTCATTATCCGTCCGTATACCCAACCCGCTCAACCTAAATCCAAGAATAGGATTCTGTTGAGCGAACACGCATGTTTTTGACACAAGAGCGTCTACACATTTCAAACATTGTCAATAAATAAAAGGTCTGAAATAATGGGAGTTAAAGATGCTATAGCAGTTGCATACATGTTTCTCGGATGAGGAAAGGTTGTTTATATGAACAATTCCCTAACATTTCTGTATTCTGTTCTGTATGAACTTATGCCCAGCTAATGGGCGTCAGACTTCCTGCCTGGAGATAATTACTTCTAAATATAATGTGTACAAATTGCAGTTATCTATTGTTCTGATCGAGTGAGTGAGTTGGGTGTAACGCTGCTTTGAACAGTATTCCACTTATATCACGACGTATCAGCTTGATGTGGGAGGAAAGTCCGAAGTGATGAAGAACTCAGACCTTTACCACTTTGGTGAAACTCTCGAGCACGGCTATGGTGCTGACAAACCTGGAAACATAATCGAGGCGAACCGGGATTCGAACCCATTAATTGTACAGCAAATTGTGGTGTCTTAGACGACCGGTCCACCCGTGCCCCCTGAGATCAAGTGACATAGATTTTACATGGAAGTAAATGAATGATCGATTGTCTATTTTGTCATTCTATTCTTGAACAACTTATTGCATCCTTCAAGAACTGAGACATACAAATCTTTAAGTGTACATGTTTACATGTCACAAGACATCGGTGACGGTTATAAATAAATAAAACTGACCGAATGTATGTATTCTCAGGGATTATAGTCCAAACTAACGTCACCAAACGTACTCGTCCCTCTGTGTAATATAGCTTAATGCATTATAAAGCTTTGAAATGTTATCTAATTGTCGGCGTGTTTGCTGTAGCATGGACATAATATTGTGCCGAACCCATGCCCTAAAGCGTGCTCAAAGCGCTACATCATGACCCCGGTCCAGGGATCAGGGTGCAGTCGATGTCATTCTTAGCTCCTTGGGGAAAACTTCGAAGGGACGCGACTATTCACGCCGAATTGGGTTGTCTTTGACCGCTGGTCAATCCGTACCCTAGGAAGTTAGTGGACGAGTCGTGTTAAACGCTGCTCTACCATAGGTTCAGTTATATCGCGTCATTAGAGCGTGAAGTTCACTG